CTCCACTGTCCTGTGAATTGCTCTGATACACTTGGGGAACCCTGAGAGGACCAGATTTTCCAGTTCAGGCCTTTTTTGCATCACCAGTTCACTGAGAGGGAGCTGGAGCTCTGCAGAGGAGTGGGATATTCAATGTTCAACTCTGAGTCCTTCTGAGAAAGCAGAGCCTATCTAATGTTTCAAGCTGGCAAAAATAAACATGAATGCTCATGTAATGACTGCATTTCTATGCTGTCCCAAGCAGGCTCTCCTGCTCCCTTTTCAATCTAACATGTGTTGATATCCCTTGGCAGTGGGGAGATCCAGCTATAAATATCTCCATCAGGACTCCCAGCAGTTGAGTTTTGCAGTCAGATCTCCAGTAGATAAGTGACTTTAACTGGTATTGCTCAGAATACATTCCCTTCCCACTCAGCTGTTGCTGAAAAATGCTATTGAAGCTTTTATAAAAGCCTGTTTTCAAGTGCATGGAAGTGCCCTGAACTCAGTCATTTTCTGCCTCTCCTCTGGATGGATAACCCTGTGAAATGAATCTTGGACAAAAGTGAAATAGAGAGGCCAGTGATTAGGTTTCAGCAGAGCACTTTAACACATGCTTAAAATAAAACTTTGAAGTGACTTCAAAACTCCACAAGCTCCATCAAGTCAGAATTCTGAACTGGGCTTTACTGTTTTCACTCAAGTCTTTGTTAAGATACCGGGGGAAAATAGTCCTTGATTTTAACCCGCAGTGGGAACAATCTCTTTTGAACATTTATTATGAGTGAGTAGTAACCAAGACTGTAAAGGATTTATCCTGTTTCTGCTAAAACTGAAGAACAGATCCTCAAAAGCAACAAGGCACAGCACATATCATAAGGCAAATCACATTTATTAAAATTTGCCTCTACCACATGTTCCTCTACTATTTCTTCTGCTCTTCTCTCCATTTCCTCAAATTGAGAATATTTAGAAATATTTTCAGAGACAAGCTTCCAAAAACCCTTTGAATAATCCGGAAAATACTAATAAGTTCTCAAGAACTGGCATTTTAATGCTCATTATATAAAGCTGCGTGATGGAGTGGATTGCTTTAAATATAGATGTTCCATTAGGAGGAAGATCATGTTTTGCAATCCTGAAAATGAGGCTTAAGGTCCATTGTAAGAACATAAGTGCTCCTCTTTACTCAAAAAAGGATTGCATAAAGGGTTCTATTTGGATAGAATAAAACCCAGAATGAACAGTGTGGAAATTCATTTAGACTTATGAAGCTGTAACTAAATACTAAATTCTCTCACAGCTCACAAAGCCAAATTGTCACTGCACAGTTAATTTTTAATGCTGAAATTACTATCTGCTTTGTGATAGGTTGTCACATGCTCACTGGCAATAATGAAATATTTAACAAGAAACATGGATACTATCCACAAATTTGTTTTGTACAAACTCTCCCAGATAATCCCTAGGTCTCTGTGTTGTTTTTATGGCCAAAGAATTCACAGTCATAAAGCCATATAAAACATGTCAGACATTCTTTTCAAAGTGAAAGTTTTTAATACAATTCTTAAGTAGTTAAAAGTCTATAATTAATCATGTTCACTTCCATTTTAGCTTTGTCAAAAGATTCGTGCAACTTCAGCAACTATAAAATCCTCATTCTATGACACAGAATCTTTCCAAATTCAGTGCTAACTTTGTCAAACCCATTTCATCTATCTCAAAGCTGGGACAGCACAGTTACCGTGTCCAGTTATTCTGTAAACTCAGGAACATGAATGGATCATAGATTCCAGACCACAGAAACAGAAAAAAAAATGGCCTTTTCAAAAAGGTTCAATAGATGCTGTGCCTTGATCTTAGAGGAAACACCAAATCACTATTGGCTCCATAAGAAAAAGGAATTCAGCAGCTGCTCTCAAAAGAGTTAATAGGGAAGGTAATATCAGTTATGAAACATTAAGCCTGAAGTTTTCCCATTCTAGACATATATAAATTTTCCCATATCTTTGGTATTCACATCTAGAGCAGATGGGACAAAAAAAAAAAAAAAAAGTTACCATTGGTAAAAAAAATAAATAAATAAAATTAATCTGAAATTTCACATGGTGACATTTCATGCCTGATAAACTCCAGAGTTTGGTGCTATGGACCTGAAGGAAGGTGAGACCAGCTGTAGTATCTATAATCAGCACAGAAACTTCCTGGCTGATCAGTGACAAACCCGTGGGCCTCAAAGCTGGCCAAAGGCTAAACTCCACAGCCTTTATTTATTTATTTGGAGTTGCAGTTCAGCACATTAAGTGGCAATTCCCAAAGCTGCAAAGCTACTTGAGCTATGAGGTTATGAAGATTGCTAATGCCACAGGAGCACCCCAGACAACCACTGGGAATTTTATCCTGTAATTTGCTTCAACCCAAAAGCTGGCAGTCAAATGCTGCTGTTTGATACTATCCAGCAGGAATGAGCCTCCAGTCTTCCTTCTGACTTCCCTTTCTCTGGTTTCCCAGCCAAGCAACACAGGGCAGTATCAAAACACACATTCAAATTATTTTCATTAGGCTCATTGCTTGTATTCTTGATCAGCCATGGCAGCTGAAGTGATTTTTATTACAATTTTCAACCACACACTGAAGTGAAGGAGAAAAACACACTTTTCTTGAAAGAAGCATACTCATCTGCTTTCCAAAACATGAAATGGCTTTTTGTGTCTTTAGGTTCTAATGTGTACCTAATCAGGATAAGCTGGGAATATTTTTGCTGCCCATTCGAGTAAAATGTTAGAAACAGAACAATTGCTGTAGCCTCTGAAGCTATTCAGTGACATGCTAGAGCATCTCTGCAGCTTCAAAGGAAGGTGCATGAACCCCAAAAATAAACAGATGTGGAATTAATCACTCACAAAAGAAAATCCCTCTCCATTTATAGCTGTTATTTAATCTGTAGCAACTCTAAACAATAAAATCTCAAGGGAATTATTTCACCATTCACTGTTCGCTGCATACATTTCACATACAATGTTTATTGCAATTCAAATACTGCTACTGATATTAAACAGTTTTATGTAATAAAATAAACATTAAATGTTTTATGTAATGTTTCAGTTGAATACAACAATTAAAATCCACTCCAAATCTCTGTGCTCAGTTATTATCCTACACTTTAGACAGAATGCTTAGAAGAGACACTTAGGAGCTGCTTGTGCCACATCTGAGTGAGTTTTTTTAATGATACTCCAGCATTTCATAGAGTAATGATCACCAAACTGCTTTTGAGGCTTCCAGTGTGAATGGATTCTCTGAGATTCAGTTCTCATTCTTTAGAACTCACTACCTCAGCTATCCTGACATATGACACATATTAAGTGTCATGTTTCATGGCTCTGGGCTAGAATGAAGGACATTTCAGTATGGGACACAACTGTGAACTACATCTTCCATTTCATTTAATGAGCTGAATTTTATCAGATTTCTTCCATGGAAATTATATGCATGCTTGCAAATTATTTGCATAAAAAAAGATACAAGGAAGGTCTTGAAATACATAAGATTATTCTCCATTTTCAAATAACAGTCACAGCAACTATGCACTACCCTTCCTCGATGCAAAGCAGTGCAGAATATTTTAAAAGCAATCACCTCTCTGTGCTGCACTAGAGATACTCCAAACCAGACCTTCCCTGTTTTCTTGGTTCTGAATCCAGACTGCCCAACTCATTTGTGAAATGAACACTACTCTTGATACAGGTCCAATTTTACTGGTAACAACTCTGAAAATTTGTCTTTTATGCACTAAACTCACCTCTTAGCTATCATAAAGATTAGAAAAATCATTAGAATTTCTGCTGGGGCAAGCATTTGCTAAGAGCTGGCTTAAGGATATCTAAATCCAAAATCTAACACTGTAAATGCAAATGAAACAGATGTGGAATTAATTGCCTACACCTTTAGCTTTCAAATCTGTGACCAAATTCTCATTCCTTTCTGTCACGTGGGCCCAAACAGGATTTTCCGCACTCTGTGAAGAGTGCCAAGGAGCCAGCAGTTGACGAGCTCAGACAAAAGGAGAGATTTTTTAAGGTTTTTGATTATTCACATTAAATTGTTCACAAATAAAAGCAGCCACCTTTCCACCAACATGGGGCTACAGCCAGCACTGGCAGCCCCAGCAGATCATAAACACCAAACCAGGGGCCACAGGTTCCATGGAAGTCACGTACACTGGCACAGCCAGAAGAAAAACCATTAATCCAGGAAAATTTCTGGAGCTGGGGAAGCCATAGGTAGGTTTTCCTCATGAGGAACCCACCAGTCCCTGGCAGTGGCAGGTTTGGGGAAAGGGGAATTTTGTGTTTTATCTCTCTTTACACCTGGTGAATCTCTTCTTTTGAGGTCTGTCTCAGGATCTGCTCTTCACCTGGAAAACCTCAGTCTTTTCCAGTGTAGTCAGATGATTATTCCCCATCTATCCCAACAGGAATGTCTCCCCTTCAGAATCAAAGGCTTTCCTGCATTTACCCCCCTTGCCTGGTGTACAGGATGCTTTGGAGATTTGTAATACTGATAGCAAAGGCAATGCAGCAAGGGAAAGGAAATGAGGATCATCCAGCCTGGATCTGTCCCTTCAAAAGATAATGCCACTCTACCCTAAACCGACAGTTTAAAAATTAGAAGTTTTGTAAATAGTTATAAATGTCTTATTGCCAGCAAAAAATGAAATAAGGCAAATCAAATTAAAGGAAAAAAAAAAAAAAACCCACAGGAAAGGCAACTTTTTTGTAGTTCATTTTTACTATTTCTTCTCTCCCCAGAGGACAAAATAAGGTCTTTTATCAACTTCTTCTACTCCTATATCTGCATTGCTTTAGAAATCTGCACATAAAGCAATGATATTGCCCGCCACCCCCTGCAGTTTTCTAAGCATGCAGATTTCTGTTACTATAAAAAATAATTTAAGCATGGAAATACTTGACCCAACCCTGCTTGAGGACGAAATGGAAAAGCTCAAGTAACAAACTCACCAGGTTCTCCTCAAACCACTCCCTCAGACACAGAGCTGTGGCCCCTGGGATTTGGTTTCGCAGAGCTTCTTTCTCCTGAGGGTCCTCCAGCATCTCCAGGGCCATCTTCAGATCCTCCAGGAGGTGCAAGATTTGAAATGTGCCCAGGTACACTGATGGAGCAGGTGACACAATATCATAACCGCCATTAGCAAACTCTGTGGCGGACTTTGTGCCTAAAGAAAACCAAAATGAGGATGGACAAAAATGTCATATAATTGCTTTGTAGGGGGCAAATTAATAGGTACTGCATGCTACCGTATTTGGACTTCAGACTGACAAGTTTCACTCTAGGCTAAAAACATTAATTTCAGACTTAGAAATACCTGAATTAGTCTCTAGATAAATCATGAAATCTGGAGAACCAAATGCAAGAGGTGTCTACATGCACATCAAAAAAGAATTTTGACCTAGGTCATGTTTGCAATGTCCAAATTATAAATTGCAAAGCTTATCCCAAATCACCTGTAATTTTCCACGGTTACCATGAGATGTCACTAACTTCTCAGCTACACCATGGAAAGTCCCCACACTGCTAAGCAACAAAAGAATGACTGATGCAGCTCTCTGGCAAGAAACTGGGATCAAAGTAGATCATGTTACCAGATCTAGAAAAATATGAATGACCATGAGCAGGTTTAGAACTCTCCCACAGAGAACAACACTTAAAAAGTTAGCAATAAAAATAGCAAATGAAACTTTTCTAGCTCTATAAAGTACAAAAAGACCTCTCAATTGCACTGTCGTTCTCATGCCAGTCCTCAACACCAATATTATTTCTCTCAACAACACTAGGAACAAAAGAACATAACTCACTTATGGAAGAATTATAAATAATACAAATTCTAATATCCCCAAAACTTATTTTCTTAGTACCCTATGTATTTCAATGAGATGCACACTAAAATAAGCTCTCTTTTCTCAGCCCTGAATTTCAGACTTTGATTTAATTTAATGTGTGTCTTTAATTTAATTTTGTGTCTTTAAGAACCAGTCAGGCAGAAAATTTCTATTTGCTCTACTTTTCAAAGTTTTTGTTTACAATCTATTGCCTCATGTACATAATGGATTGTACACATGCCTTCATTCATGTTCTTTCTGGCATAAAAATATCAGAATTTCCCTTCCTATTTGACTTAATGGGAGATTTTTTAAGGTTTTTGATTATTCACATTTTACTGGCTGCACATAGCATTTAGTATTCATTAGAAGACTGCATAATTTATGCACACAAGGGGATTTTAATAATCTCTTTGCTATTATTCTTTTTACTCCTGTGGTTAACATAGTTTACGTGTTAGCAATGAAGGGAACAAAAAATCTTCACAGGGTCTTTGAAAATGACCTGCTAAGTTTATTTTTCCCCTGAGCAGATGTAGCTAATGTGATGCACAAATGTATAAGGAATTCAGATTTTCTTCTTGAATGCAGAGCACCTCGCATTAATCAGTGTTAATTGGCCTGATGTGCTCATTTATCTGCCATGATCTGGGCATTGCAAACTATGTTTGAACCCAGTGTTTCAATTTACCTGCAGCCTGATACACATCTCATTAATACACCAATACGGGAGGTCCCAGGACACAGAAATAACTTCTGCACCTAAAGTAGTTTTTAACCAAACTGCTATTGGATCCTTTAATGCTGATATTATTCCCCATGTCAACCAGTTTTTGGACAAAGATAATACTTGGTCTCTCATTTAATGAATGCTTGATTTTACTCACAGCCTTTGGGAAAATTTAAATAATATTCACCAGATTTTCTTCAAAAACTCTTTCAATGACCCAAAGTAGTCTGTCATGTTTTTGCAAAAATTTGTGTGGTTTGAATTCTGCCATACGCCCCATGTGGGAGGTTTTTTTGACCGTCTTAAATAATGAAAAGCCCTCCCTAGAAATTTTGCAAGGCTCTGTAGTAGGATTCTTCTTTTTTTATTTTGGTAAAGCAACAGTCATTTTCACTGCTGGAGCATTTCATATTACCTTAATCTCTTTTCAGACTCAGAATATTCTGTTTGATCCTGGTGACCTCTATGCTTATGGATTTATTTTAATACCTCAAGTGTAAGATCTCATCTTAATTTCTGGCCAAGACCATGTCCAAGATTAAGTTTCTTCAATATCCGGTGCTCCAAGGCTGCCACACGAGACAGCCTCACCTCGTAAACCAACCTTGGCTTCCTGAATTACTTCCTTTTGAGGGGAGGCTCAGCTGACTGCTCTGCAGGACTTGTGTTCTCTAACCACTAAATGACATTTTCTTATGTATTTCTATGCTCTCAGCTACTCAGGCCCAGCTTGTTTCTGTTTCTGTGTCGCCTAATGCAGATTATTAAACTATTAAACTAAAAATAGCACATTTCCAAATTGAGTAAGGGCCATTTGAGTCATATAACCAATTACATCTTTTCATTCAGCCAGAGAGGCTTATTACATTCTGAGAGATGCACACACAAACTGATATATGACACTGGCTTCTTAAGTAGCATCGATTCCTTGGTTATTGTGCCATTTCTCACTCTTTTGGAAAACTCCATGCCAATATTTTCTTTTTGCTTGGCAAGCATTTTTCACTCTAGAAAACCAGACAGGGTTCAAAGCTATTTCATAACCAGCTGTGGTGGCTACCCCTTCAATGAACTGGCAATTTAAAATATTTATGGGATGGGAAAAACTGAAAGGAGCATTCTGCTATAGACTGTTCCATGTGACTTTTATGAATATTTTGTATTCATAGACAAGAGAAAAACCAAACACTATTCCATACGATCCAAACAAAATCGCATGAACTTACAGGCCTGCCACGAATACTTCAGGTGTGAAAAAAGAAGCTAAGCTAAATACAATTTAAAACAATAATTCAGGAGTTCAGTTAATTGTGCTAAGTAGGTGGTTTATATAATATAGTCAAATATACACCTCCATCCAATGTACCCCTGCAGCTTCCCCCTGGACAGTATTGGTGACACCTTTGTTCACCAGCCCAAGGGACTCACTTCTTGCCTCAATCCTTGTATTATCATGATTACAACGTTCCTGACAACATCTGCCTTCCAAAGCAAACAATCCCAGGTGATGTAGGAAAAATTCAGTGTGTCAGCAATATTCACACTCTCCATCACGCCTTTATTTGATTTGCCTCTACCAAAATACCAGGGAAAGCAACATATACACACATGGATTGTCACGTTTCAGAAGCTGATTCTATGAAGGAGAAAATTTCTAAAGTGCTGGAGCACAGGCAGAGCCAGCCAGGAATTCTGTGATTTCTTGAGATTGGGCGTGCCCTATATGCATCCTTGAGTTATCCCAGGCTCCTCAACTGGCAGTTCAGATTGGCAGAATTCTCTGCATCCTCACGTTTTGCAAACTGCTGAATTACTTTAAAACTGGTTTGCTATGGATTGCTAACGTGGCCCTTTTTATTCTCCTAGCTGCAATGGAAAATGGAGAACTCCTTTGAATGCAACAAATAATGCACTTTTTACTAGGGACAGAAATGCAGAAATACAGAGCCCAACTCAGCATTTTAATTCAGAAAACTTCCTGATTTACTGCTAAAATTCAAATGAATCCCAGGCTTGCTTCTCTTATTTGCTTTCCATGTAGTTTCATATTAAGTAGGATTGCACTGCTCACCAGAAGAACACACTCTGGAAAACAGAAGTGTGTAGCAGGAAATAATTGTATTATTTTGCCTTGCTTTAAACCTTGATATCATCATGCTGCAAAGTGCATGAAGTTTTAGCACCAGACAGTAAGAATTTGGATGTTCTTGCAGATTAATGGAAATAAAAAGAGATGATAACATTATTTGTTACCAGCATCCTCTACCATTAACAGCTGTTTATATCTGTGTAGCTTTATTATAAATAACTGAAGAGGGGAAGAATGCAGTTCCAACATCAGAATTTTATCAATAATCAGGAAAAATGACTCTTACGAAAGGATTAATTTTTTTCTTGAACAAGTCACTGTCTTCCTGTACCTCACTTCTTTTTCCAGGGGTAAACAGGACACAGGGAAATATTTTGTCATCAGGTTTATATAATACCCAACATCATGGTTGCCTAGTGTACTACTGGAACACAATTGTTCATCATGAATGTTAACTTTAGAAGAGCAGGAAAAACAGAAAGAAAGGGAGAAAAATATTGAAACTAGGACATTCCAAGGAGCTTCCTCCTGGCCTCCCCAGTCAGTGAGTGAAGGAAGTTGAAGGCAGCTGCACGTTATATGTAGGCAAAAAGAATAAAATAAATAATAAAACAAGCAAAACAACTTTTACGTTACACATTTCTTAAACCCTGACCGTGCAAGTGCATTCTTCTCTCAGAGTTCCTTGCAATTAGCAGAATGGCTTCAAAGAAACATTCCTTTTGGGCAAATACATAAACTATTCAGAAAACAGCACTGCCAGTAGCTTGCAAAAATAAGTTACTAGGCACAAGTAAAGAAAGAGGCAAAAGCCCTGCCAGGTTGAAAAATCCCTCTCCTGAGCCCGTGTTGTGTGCATTCATCCATCACACAGCTTCCATCTCTCCTAGCAGTAGATGTTGTGGTTGATCTCTCCCTTGCATCTTAACTTCTGATCCCCTGCATTCATCCTTTTCATCTCAATTTTTTCACTTTCAAACTGGTTGAGTTTTGAAAAAAAATTCCAGGTAATGTACAACTCAACCATCAGTGGTTAAAAAGAGTATTTTCCTGAGAATGCTGGCTCCTTTAGATCAGAAATCAACAAAAAACAACACCCCCCCCCCCCCCAGCAAACGCCAAAAACTACATCTATGCTGGGTAAGGATGACTTTCTACAAAGCTGAAATATTAATGAGTAACAATATTGACATCTGACCAACACTGGTTAGAATAAAGTTATAAACATGCATTCCCTCTAGCCTTTCAATCATTACACTGCTAGAGAACACATTTTTACCTGAATTTTTACTCAGTGAGTATATAGGTTGTCCAAGTTCTTCCTCTCTCCTTCAAGATTACACAGTGCAATTTTCTTTGAAGCACAGTTGTTGGTTTGTTTTTTTTTTTTTTTCTCATGAAGACAGCCTTGAAAATGTGAATTTGTGTAAACTAGCAGTAAGGGCTGGACAGGACGTATTTCAGCCTCCTGCTTCCTAAGCCTCCTGCAGAATGAGTGAAGAGGGAGCTCACCCAAT